ATCAGGGAAGTTGTTAGGTAAACTGTCAGATACCAGCAAAGCCCTGAACATAAATCATATTTTCCAGTTATGTTGTGGGGAAGTGCAATGACTTAGTTAAGGTCAGTATAATGTCTTAGGCTTAAATACCACACCCATCACACTGATAGTCAATTTGAGTCAATGATTTAACCCAGATGGGAATCCAGGTTCTTCTTGGCTTACTGTTATCTGTTCTGCCCATTAGGTTATGTGACTTCCATAAATTATTTTGCAGTTCCCGTTAAAAGAAAATAAATCCACATGATGCTAAATGCTACCTCCCAGCTGTAATGCAAACTGGAATTTTGGACCACAGCACTGCTCCCTGACTCATTCTGGATCCCCTCCATGTGATGTTGGATCCATCTAAGCTGGAGAGAGTAGAATAGAAGGGCTGTGTTTTTTTCTTTGACTTTTTTTTTCCTATCACCCACTGTCAGATAACACGTGGATGTTGTCACAGCATGTCTCTAGAATGTGAAAAATAACAATACCAGAGAGGGGCCTTTCTGAATACACAAGGATAGAAAGGATAAGATAAGATTTATATGGGGATCATTTAAATAATGACTCACTGCCATTGCTGAGTTTATAAAATATATAAAATCCAGATAGAAATGTTGGGGTGAGGGGAAACTGTGTTAAGAAGTGCAACAGAGGTGGAGAACTGTAAAAAAGTTAAAAATAGCACACCCATGGAGCAAAATTTCCTTCACACATAGCTTAAATACAGCCACTACACTTCAAGCCTTCTGCACATGGCTTTACTATGAGCTTCTCTGTTGCTTGTTTGCAGTTGGAGAAAATCCAGAAAGCAAGGAAAACAAACACATCACACGTTCCCTGCCTCTATTTGATTTAATGACACTGAGCACACACCTTTGGCTTTTTCCAGGGGTTAAAAAGACAAAGGGCCAAATATAGCTCCGGCAATCCCGCAGGCTGCCTTGCCAGGAGAGCGTGGTGGGAAAGCCTGCTTAACCAGCCCCAGAGGATTTCCTCGTGTAGGAAACCTCAAAGAGTACAGAGGTGGCTCGGTGGCCAATTCCAGCACCAGGGGTTTTAGCCAAAGAAATGCTGGCGTGTGATGGGAATTCAGCTGCTTCCCAGCTGATGAATCAACCTCTCTGAAGCCACAGGTGACCGGCATGTCTACATTGCAGTGGCACACAGTGAAGAGACATCTGAGATTACAACTGCTGTATTTTTAACAGCAAAAAGAATGAGAGAAGAAGCAAAAAAAGGGATTCAAAAAGAACCCAGATATACATCATTATTTTGACCACCCTTAGCTAATAGCAGGCTCCCAGGGTGACTCTAATGATTATGGCTTTCTGCAAATTAAACTGTAAAGGTCCTGACTATGTGGGACATTGACTCTTCCACTTGTTCTGTGATAGAACATGAAAAGAGAGGCTGAGTACACCCCTTCTGCTAGGATTAAAACAGGGACAGGTATTGTTGGGAGTGTTTCATTCTTTGGCTTTGCTTTTTAATATCTTGCTGTTTAAATGGATGATCTGCTTAATTATCATTCATCTCTGAGTAATAAAGATGCAGTATCCACAAATACTTTAAAGAGCTCTTTCCCAGTGAACAACATCCACTTCCACTTAACATTCTACCTTAAAACTTTTTTTTCCCCCTAGGGCCTTGTTTCATTTAATTCAATTGCAAAATCCCAGGAGAATGACCAGGGTGCAGTAAAATTTGTGTAATGAACACGGTGGTATCTGCAGTGAAAACATCACCCCTCAGAAAACAAAAAAAACTTTGGGATGAAGAGTAAGATCAGGGCAATTACAGTGTTTTGGAAGGTCAGCTGATGATACAATCTGCAGCTGGAAAGAAGCAGGCAGAGGATACTACCTGGGTTTGGGGTCCAAAAGTGGTATCAATCTTATAGGAATCTGACAGCAGCTGCCCACCAAGCTAAATCTGAAGGCAGGAACACAACTCAAAATTGTAGCTTTATGATATTAAGTCATGCTACTCAGTACTACTGAAAGGCTCTCCTCTCTTCCTGGAATTATTGTCCTGAAAGCACCAAACAGCTCTTTTAACTGAAGTCACTCTTGTATTTTGAGACGTAGCAGAGGATACTGGGGAAGCTACTATTTCCATTTCTGGTTAAAGCGCTCCATGGGCAGAGCCCACATACTGCCTGTAGGAGACTTTTGGCTTCTCCCTGGTCTAGAGTACATCCCTCTGTGCTTCAGCACTGCACCTAATGAGGACCTGTTCTGTTGCCTGTACCCTGAGATCTCTGTTGGATTGATCCAATGGTAAGAAGAGGGAAAGCAAATTTAATTCCTGGATCTCAGGCTAGTCTGGATGTCTAAGCCAAAATAAAGTTCAACTAAAAGTGAAGCCAAGCTGCTAAGCCCGATCAAGGCAAAAATGCTTCAATTTATGATGCATCTCAGAGCAAGACTTGTCTTGGAAATTTTAAGAAAAAGAGGTGTGGCACCTGCAGAATTTGGGTACCTCTGACAGTAGGTTTACAATTATGGATTAAAGAAACCCAATTCCTCCTCAGAAAGCTCTTTGAACAGTCAGCTTTCACAGTTTTAGTAAAGGCTTTGGCCCTTACATACTTTGTCCGAGATGATGTGCTTTTCTGGATCAAGCCCAAAATACGCAAAATAAACTAACTAAAAGGCAAAGATGAAAATCATATCAACTATACTAATGAGAATCTGAAAAACAGTATTAAAGAGGTGTACCATATAGTATTAAACACCTCCAAATGGTAAACAGTGAACAAGGCTCTTTAATTGTTCCCTAGATGTGCAAGTAAGCAGTAAAAGGGAAAATCTGACATGCTAAAATTCTTGCACAGGTTCTTGTCTGAATCTTTCTGGCCTCTGTCTGAGCCACAGACACAGTTTTCCTGCTGCTTTCTCAGCAATGAACTCTCCGTTCCTGGTCAGACTGTCCCATTGATTTCTACTGCTCAGTTGTCCAAATTCAAATCAAAGTGAAGCTTTCTTGAGGAAACATGGGTGGCTGCTTTGTGCTTCTCCACCACACAGTCACCGATTACCTAAGGTGCTCAGGAATGTTTCTCTTCTACAACAACTTTTATTTTGTAATATTCCTTGCAAAACAAGGAGCTTTACCACCCCCTGAGCTACTGCACAAAGTGAAGTGGAGGTGGTCACTGTAAGCAGAGGAATAATCCCTTTTCAGTGCGCACCCCGGGCCAGCCAGGTGTTCTGCAGCTCCCGGTGATGGACACGCTCAGCAGTCGCGCCCATGGCAATGCTGGAGGACTGCGTGGAAAGGCAGGAATTTTGCCGCCGTTCCAGCAAGCAACAGTTCTTGCTGATGAGCATGGGCTGCTCATGCCCAGCTGCCCTTCCCATAGCCTGCGGAGCCGGAGCAGGCGCTGGGATGTCGGGCTGAAGAACGGGACTACTCTCTCCGACTGCGCCGCTCTCACCTCCCCAGCCTTTAAACCCCCGCTCCCCAAAACTGCCTCCTTCTCTCCCGTCACCCCGCAAACCCACCACTCCTGCGCTCCCGGGGCAGAGCCCCGCAGAGGTGTTCTCCCAAACCAGCGCCCCTCACCGCCCCTTCCCTCCTCCCCGGTGACATCCAGGCAGGTGGCCCCGGGGCCGCCAGGTGCCGGCACCGCTCCGCTGCTCCCGGGGCCGGAGCAGAGGCGAGCGGAGGGTCCGGGACACGCAGAGAAAGTCCGGGACAGGCAGCGGGGTCCCCGCACACTTTCCCACACCGCCCTCCACCCCTTCCCCGCGGCGGCGGAAAGTGCCCCAGCTGGTACCTGCCGGGGGCCGGAGCGGCCGGTGCGGGGCGCGGCCGGCGCGGGGCCGGGGCCGGGGCCCGGGTGTCGGAGGCGTTGCGAGCGCGGCGGCTCCTCCCCGGCGGCGGCAGCGGCGGAGGGTCTCGCTCCTTCTGCGCCGAGTGTCAGACTTTCCCTCGGCCGCCCTCCCTCCATCCCGCCACCCCTTTCCACACCCTCGCACGCACATGCACACACCCCTCCAGCAAATGAGCTGCTGCCGGCGAGGGCGTGTGTGTGGTGTGGGTGTGTGTGTCAGCCAGCTCAGGCACACACCCACTGCTCCCGCCGCAGGTCCCGGCCTCGGCACAAGGGACACCGGCTGCCTGAAAAGGGTCGGAGTGCGCACACAAACACAGAGTGTGGCAGCGATGTGCCCACTCTGCCGAGACCGGGCGCCCAGGGACCCTGAGCCTGTGTGTTTTGCCCTGGACCACAGACCCCTCCTGCACTGCCGGATTACACACCTGCGAGGTCGCACAGGAGCATCCCGACCTAGCGCTGGGATTGCCCTGCACAGCTGCAACTCCGCATCGACGTGTCTAAAGCAGCCTCAGGTCCACTGACGACGGTTCCGGTGACACATTCCCACTGGGGCTGAACCGCAGGACAGTGGCTTGTAGATTGAGAGTGAGAAAAAAAAAAAAAAGCCAGCTTGCCACACTTACTGATAAGGGGGAAACAGCTGGGCAGTGTCCCGGACGTCGGGGCTGGTGCATATTCAAGAGTTTGCCTGCGTGCAGAACTGTAGCTGCCAGGGAGACATCTGCCTTTGCATTTATTTGTTTTGTCCCTGGAATGTGCTACACTGGTGGTTCTCTGGCTTTCGCATACTGCAGACCACTTCCTAAGAGAGAATTTCTCTCCTGGACCAACCCACTCCCACACCAAACCATTCTCTCCAACATATTTCCTCCTGTGGCTGCCCGAGAAAGAGCCTTCCTGCCCACAGGCTGAGAGCCATTGCACACATGGCACAGAGTATCAGACACTTCCAGAGAAGACACACTGGGGTTCTTTCAAAAACTGTGTCTCCCTTAGTGAAGAGCTCAGATTGAAAGTCTTCAGTTGGCGACTCATTTGCAGAACAGACCCCGACTGTTGCTCCCATGAAATAACAACATAGTCAAAGAAGTCCAGAGAAACATACTGGAGTTTCCACCATGCTACTCACCTCAGCAGAACTTCATCCTCACCTACCATTCGCATAGAAGTCAGATGGGTGGTCTGGGCATACAGGTCAGGAGCTAAATAGCAGAGTTCTTTTAAGTTCACCAAAAGTCAACTTCACATTTTTTTTAACCTGAGTTTTTAAAGCAGTTTGTTACTACAGTACAAACTGATACTGTTTTTATAAACTCTGCGCACAGAAATGCAGACGCTACTTATCTACATGTGTCTTATATTCCCACAAGACAAAGGGAGGAGTTTGAAGACAGGTTGTTTCATAGTTGCTATTGGCTTTTGCTGTCTAAGACCTTCAAAAAAAAAAAAAAAAAAAAAGAAAGAAAGAAGATTTTAAAACCCAACTTCCACATTATCATAGATAAAATTTTCCATTGCTTTAATCCCTGGATGGCACTGCCCAATACAAATATAATTGTGATGAGTATGATGCAGATTTGAGCCCTGTCTGTGTTTTGAATTTCTGTAGAACGATTCTTGCACTTTACCTTTTTCCCACTCCCTGAACATCTCAAGCACTATGCCGGTAACCACCTCCTGCACCTGAAGAAACTCAACAAAAAGAAAATGAGGAGACAAATCTTTGTGGTTTTTTAAGCAATCATTTGGACTACAGAATTGGGCTTTGAGGTACTCTGAAAATATGAATCCTGATAAAAAGAAAACATGCTGGAGAGTTCTGTTTATTTCACATTCTGGAGATGTTTCAGACTCCTATGAAAAAGAAATCAGCATGAATGTCCCCTTTTCTCATTTGTTAAACCAGTCTACGGTCTTTGTGAAAAGTAAAAAAAAAATAAATAAAAAATAAAAGGTGTTGGAAATGGTTTTATTTTAGCAACTACTTTTTCTTCTTGCAAATCATGAGAACATTTTTTTTTAGTAGAATATATAGCAGAAGATTTATCTTTTAAGAATTATAAAAACTAATTTGTGAAATAGTTAACCTCCTAACTGAGTAAAGTGGAGGAAACCAGGAAAAAAGCCGCCCTCTTGTGGCTGTTGGCTGAAGGAAAATTGATAGAGTTCGTAGCATTTCTGCGCAGACAGCAGAGAATGAACATGCTTTTGTGTTCCTGGTTACTAAGGCTCTCAAACAGGGTTACACGAGGTCATGCCATGGACACAGGCTGAGAAGACAGTCACCATCTGCACAGTATCATTGTAAAAGATCAGTTGATGCATTCCTTGGCATTGTATTTTAAACCACTGTTCAGAAATTCCCAGAGCAGATTAGTACAGCTTTACTGGGAGACATCAGTTTCTCAGTGTCTGCATTAATGTCACCTCTTTGAGGAACCATTTTGGTCAGGACTGCATTTGCTTTTAAAAGGGTGTTGGAAATATCCCAAAAATATAGGAATTTCTGCCAATTTTACAGAAATTGTCTAAAGTTTTCACAGGAAATTTTTTTTCCACATTTTGAAGATGTGATCATTATAATGATGGTGAGGATGATGACAATATTTTTCCTGCAGAAAGGACACCGACTATTGTAGGGAAGAAGTATTCAACAGGCTCTTTTAAAGATGTTTTTGAAAAGTGAAGTGGTTTTGCTCCATTTTTTTTCTTTTGTGGCTAATTTGAGGCTCCCCTAAGACAAAATTCCACACCCAGTTCCTAGAGCAACTGTTCAAATTTCCTGTAAAACTGAGTGGCTTGTGAAAGGACAGAAGTTCATCATCAGATATCTACATTTTTGTTTTCTCATTGGACAACAATACAAGCATGAATTAAATGAGAAAATAGATCTTTCAAAAATAACTAGAATTAGGAAGAGAATTCAGCTGGTTTTGTTACTTTCCATTCCCTTCCTTTTGTGCTTGGTCATAAGTCTGAACTCTGTCCAGACACTGTAATGCCAAACTGGCACATTTCAGGCAAAACTATTTTCATGTGAGCTAAATTGTCAAGGCAAATAGATGGAGTTTTAGTAAAGACTGTAAGAGAAACATGAGACAGCAACATGCTGCCACGCTGCTGTAGGTGTTTATCTTTATGCTGAGCACTCTTATTCCTTCTGTAAGCAGTGACAAATGCCTGAAGCATGATGCAATGCAATGGTGTTGCTTATATCTCTGAAGGAGATTTGTTTTCCAAACGTTGGGCGAAGTCATACTTAGTAAGTCTCTTTCAGTTGAACAACTATTCATTTGGTGACTTTGAGGTCCTTCATGAGAAGATCCTGTAACTCATGTTCAACTATGAAAATTTTCAAGGAGACCTCCCATTCTTTACTGACGAGACCAAGAAATAAGGTATTGATTCACAAACCTGGATGTCCTTGAAGTGTTTGTTCCCAGCCATCTATCCCTACCTTTGCTTCCAGCAGTAGACAAGAAAGTGTCAAACATCATGAATAAAGGCACAAGAGTGCAGAACTGATTTACCTTCATCTACTGGTAGGCCAACTGGAGCAGTGAAGGATCCACAAGTGGGGAAGTCTTTGTAAGGATGGGGATGGACCAATCCACTGGGCACAGATCCAGTCAGCCTCAAGTGCCTGTATTTGTCACTCAGCCACTAAATTTGCTTCCTTGGGGAGCCTTGCATCACTAAATTCCTACAATTACTGTGCAAGCATATTGGCAGACTGGATTCCACACTCGCAATAAACTAAAATTCAGACACAACACTGGCCAAGATTCCTCTGCTCACTTCCCTCTCACCAGTTTGGGAAGAGGAGAAACTGTTCTATTCCAGTGTTGGCAATCATAACGCAACACCTGCACAGTAGCACACACTGATTTTATGTCCCACCTCAACCAGCTTTAAAGCCAGGGCTGGGATCTGTTCCTTTCATTATAATATAACTTGGACAGATTCTTGGCATTGCACTTGTAATCTGATTTATTCATGGACGTATTTCTTCTTAAAGAGATTTTTGTCTTGGTTTGTTTGTTTCTTTCTTTCTCTTTTTAGAATAAATGTATGCAGGTCATCCCAGGGAATCAAGCATTTATATTGCATCTATATTGCATCCTGATTCCCACCACACACAATACTTGAGGAATATAATATTGCAAACACTGACTGTGCCTGCAAACCCTTGTGGACAAGGGTCTCTGTAAGCCCTTTAGTTTTGTATTTTACCTGATCATCCCAAGTTCTATCTAATCCTAAAACATTGAGAACAAGAAGCAGTCAGAACAGAAAGAGAAGGGCAAGGCTCCTTCAGTTCTACTAGTCTGTGACATTGCGTGAGGAGAAATACTGCTGGGTGTGAGAATGCATGAAGGGAGGCATTTCTAGCCCCTGCAGCTCCCAAGTAAGAGCAGATTTCAGTTCATTTGTTTCTAGATGATATAAGAGATAATCTGTCTCCATTTAGTTGATGTTTCTAAAAAAGGGTAACTTTTATGAAAAGTGCAGAAAAAAAGTCTAAGATAGAAAAAAATATTCCTTAAAAAATTTAGGTAAAATTAAAATATCCATCTTTCTCTTGTTGCTGAATTCCTGGGTAATTATCCAAACTTAGTCATAAAGGATCTGATTCTGAAACACTGAGCATATTTAAATTCCATAGCAGCTCACAATGTTTGACTTTGCAGAGCACATCACAAGGTTAGGTACAAATTAAGCAATTTCACATCCCATGCAGTCATTATTTAGTCCCTATCCTCTCCCAATATTTCAACTGTCTCCTGAAGCATCTATAATTTCAAATGACTTTAGTTTAAACTTTGGCACTGTCAGGGTTTAGGACATTCCCCAATTTTAGGCCCTGTTCTTTTTAACACCTTCATAAATGACTTGGAGGCAGGATTGGTAGGGGTACTAAGCAACTTTGCAGATGAAATAAAACTGAGAGGAGCCTTTGATTCCCTCAAGGCCAGGAAGGTCCTGCAGAGAGACCTCAACAAATTAAAGGACTGGAAAATCGCCAACATTATGAAGTTCAACAAGGGAAAGTGTCGGATTTTGTACTTCATATGGGGCACCCTGGATGTACAGACAGGGGGAGGTCCTGGCTGATGGTAAGTTGAATATGAGTCAGCAGTGCCCTGGCAGGCAGGAGGGCCAACCATGTCCTGGGGGGCACCAGGCTCAGCATTGCCAGCTGGGCAAGTGAGGTGATTCTCCTGCTCTGCTCTGCACTGGTGTGGCCTCACCTTGGATATTGTGGCAAGTTTTGGCCAAAAGACACTGTGCTATTAGAGGGTGTCCAAAGGAGGGCAATGAAGATGGTGAAGGGCCTTGAGGGGAAGCCTTGAGTGGCTGAGATCACTTGGTCTGTTCAGCCTGGAGAAGAGGAGACTGAGGGGAGACCTCATTACAGTTACAACTTCCTCATGAGGAGAAGAGGAGGGGCAGGCACTGATCTCTTCTCTGTGGTCACCAGTGACGGGACCTGAGGGAATGACCTGAGGTTGTGTCAGGGGAGGGGTAGGTTGGATATTAGAAAAATGTCCTTCATCCAGATGGAGGTTGGGCACTGGAATAGGCTCCCCAGGGCAGTGGTCACAGCACCAAGCCTGACAGAGTTCAAGAAACATCTGGATGATGCTCTCAGGCACATGGTGTGACTCTTGGGGATGGTCCTGTGAAGGGCTAACAGTTGGACTCAATGATCCTTGTTGGTCCCTTCCAACTGAGCATATTCTGTGATTTTGTGATTCTGTAGTTTAATGTTCCTTCTGAAACACCCCAGACCATGAATGGTTCGATCCTCCCTGCCTCCCCCAGCAGCAGGATGGAGAGAATTGGGGGCACAAAAAGGTGCCCATCAGAATGGGTTGAGATAAGAACAATTTACTGGAAACAGCAGTGATATAAGAAAAGGAAAAGTTACAACAACCACACCAATAGCACAGCGCACAAGACAGGCGAATGATTCACAAGGGATTGCTCACCATGTGGAATCAGCATCGCCTGACCACGCCCCCCTTACACCCTGGCAAAAGCAGAAAAAACCACCACTCCTGCTCCTTCATCCTCCTGTGCACAGCTAGGTGGTACCCAACAGCCCCAGGGTACTGACCACACTCCTCCTGGCTGCTGCCAAAATGTACCCTGTCTGGGCTAGAATCAGGACAGACACATAGTGCATGTGAGATCTGGCCCAAATATGGTGAGAAGGATAAAAAATTTGCCTACAGATCACTTC